AAAAAAATTTCGTTTGTGCAGCGTCGAAATTTGCACGCTCAGAGTTTTGTCCATTTTTGAAAACAAAAAGTGCAACTATAAAATAAGTGATCTTATGTAAATTGTAGAGCTTTGCACGCTGCATCTTGTGGTATATTTTGTTTTTTTTAATACAACGTATTAAGTGATAATAAAGTGAAATACGAAAGTGCCCGACCCGTTAAGATCTAATGCCACCAGCTAGTTTTCAATAAAAACAGTTCTTATCGAAATTTTTTTATTATGATATTAGTGGAATAATGATCAAATAGCATAGAAACATAGAACAAAAGACGCTCTATCTGTTCATAAAAAAAGAAAATTTTTTAAAGCTTTCTATAAGAAAAAAAGATAAGGACGAAAGAACTTTTGGATTGCCCTAAGTAGATCAGCCTTGACTGATTAAAAATCACCATTTTGAGAACATTATTCTAGTTAGACAAGGAAGTAATTCACTAAATCAAGCTTTGATTATTCTTCGACGATTTCGTCCGTTTAATGTGTTTTCTGTATCTGAAAAGAAGCTCCTCGGTAAGTGTCTCAGTCGTGTACCACCGTTTGCAGTCGAAAATTAAGCATTGAGCCATTTGCCACAGATTATGAGATGGGAATACATGACGGCGAATAATATTGTATTCAGTCATTAGCAGTCATTTCAAACCATCGCTATAGAAAAGTATATGTGCTGTGAAACTATACCCTTCCTAAACTTTGTAATATCGCTTCAGATATGACAACACAAGTCAAAGAACTGATTGAAACAAAGTCGATTACTGTCTTCGATGACTTGTCATCAGAATTGATATTGTGCATTTTTGAATACCTTTCTGCAGTTGATCGCTATAAATCTTTTTTCGGCTGTAATACGCGTCTCGGTCACCTTGTTAAACGATGGACGTCATATAGTCGAAAACAACTTGATGCTGATATAGAACGATTCTCGACACTTCATAGCTGGTACAAGCATTTAGCATTCAAAGATGGTGGCACTGAATTTATTATATTTCCTCAGAAAGGCGAACAACCTCGTAACAGCATTGACCCATCTATAACAGATACTGCCGGTTTACACTGGTTCTTTCTTAGGATTTGCGATCAGTCAATAATAACTGATGAACGTATTCGTAAAATTCTTGTTCGCCACTCATTTCAACTTAACCCATTCTTCTATCATGATGAAATGAATTGTTGGTCCAATTCAAAGCTCAATGGCAAACGAACATTACGTACTTTTTACGGTGGTCACATAATTATTATGGATCGAAATCAGAAAGATTTTGAATCATGGATCAGAAGTAATTATCCTGAACATGCTGATCGGATATTAGGCAACTCCTCTTACTCACATCATAATATTGATGAAGCATGTGCGCCCATCTTCGAATCCGAATGGTTGAAAGCAGTGCAAGTTATTCGAGATTCAGCTCGTCAAGTCTGGGAGGAACTGAAACAGCTTGAAGATGTCAATCCATTTGAAATTCGAAAGGTGCATTATTAGCAACATGGAATATATGGATATTAAATCTTTATTGTTGTATGAGCAGTACAATTTAGCGTGAATCTCTTTTTTCGTTATTCTATTATGAAACACTAAACATAGTTATGAGACGTTGCTATAAAAAGGAAATTGGTATGCAAATGGCGTTTTTCATGTTTTCTTATACTGTTGTTGTCGACGCAACTGAAATGAAATCTATCGAAAAGTAAAGTGTCGAATACATAATAAAGTTGCTTGCGCGAAATAGACGAGGACAAAGTCAAAAAGTCTGTAATCATAGCAAAACTATGTATTAAAAAAATATGAGATTGTATGATAGAAAATAATAGAGTGGATTGTTATAAATGTGTCATTCTCATAACACATACACAATATTATAAGTAAAGGCCGTGTTTTTCTTTTGCATAAAGCTTGGAAAAAGATCTCCAAAAGATTGTTCTATATAAATTCACTCTATACAGAGAGATTGTATAATTGTCATTGTGTTTGTAGGTTAAATATATGATCTCATAAAAATTTACTGAACATTGAAATTCAAGTCTTACAAGATCTATAGGAAAGTTTGATATGCTTTCAACAAAAAATTTGTTGAAACGATTGGTTTAACCATTAGAAAAAAATCCAAAAATTGAATTTGAGTTTTACATATAGTTTTGTATGTAATATCCGGGTGAAAGATCAGATTTACTGTTGTAATTGAATTCGTACTTTGTGCTGTGATGCTCTAGAAAACGGCGAGTCGCTAGAAATGTGTTCGAAATATGTCAGGAACAACCATGTCTCGAGATGATACAAAAGTGTGTAAATCTTTAATATGAGTTTTCGCGCACCTTCAGAAAGTTCCACAAAACGGTAATAATTTTGACGATTTAACCTCCACCTTTTACCATAAATAATGAAAATTTTCAACAGGACAGGATCGACTCCAGATGAAATCATTTTTCACTCTTATGTTAATTGAAATTTTATTACTGAAAATTGAGATCACTGTGCACCGCATTTATGTAATCTTTTGTGCGTTTTCTTTCACTTACCGGACATATGCATCGAAAGTTATTGTGTTCTGCTGCGATGATCTCAAGAACGGAGAGATAGAAATACGCAGACAGACGATCTTATGCTGGTTTATTTATGCATCAAAGAAGGTAATGGATTTAAAGGAAATCATTTTTATGTAAAAAAAATCTCTTATAACAGTTTGAAATCAAAATCGATTATATACAAATGTATAGTAAGCTCTTTACCTCGATTACACTATGAATAGCAAGAGTAAAAAGAGTTGATTGCAGTTCCAGCAATAGAATAGATATCTATCTCTCTAAACAAGAATTTATCAAGCTAAAGTTAACATAGAGCATTGTTCTAAACTTCATCCTCTATCTACAACATAGGACAACGATGGGCTTTTTACTCCTAATATTCGTAGTGTATAAGAAAGGTATATAATTTAGAGGATACAATTTGTGTTGATTTTAAATACAATAGTTTCCTATGGAAGAAAGTTTTCTACAAATCACACTGTTAAAATAAATTTTATCTTCTTCAATGTGTGAATAAGGTAGCATAAGAACATTTACCTGTGATTGGTATATACAGTAAGACAATTTTTCAATATAAAATTCCTATTCAAATAGCATATCTGACGTACTTTGTACTACTCTTGCTAATGATATATTGAACAATAAAACTAGGTAAATAGTACAGTTTGAAAAATGAGTAGTTAGATACTTTTGAAAGAATGAAAAACGTCGTGCTATAATTGTATCGTCAAAAACAACAGAATAAACAGATTGATCTAAAATCTTTTTCTAATATACTAGCAACTATAGGATGTAATCTGAGAAATACCAGATGATTCTGGCTCATCTAGTTTTTAAGATATGCACAAAACAAAAGAAAATCATCTATTACATAGTTGAATAATTTCAATACCTACTGTTACACTGATAACCTACACAGAATTCTATAATTCTATTATATATCATCATTTTTCAGTGGATATGATAATGTAAGAATTTCAATTAAGACTATTCACTTCTGAATTAGATGGATAAGTAAAACTTTTGCTTCTATAATAAATTCTATATTATGTTATATATTCAAGTAAGAGTTATTCATGAAAAAATATATTTTTTGTGTATGACGTCTAGCTCTTTGAATAGTACAAAGATGATGTTGAATAGTTTCGTGAAGATCGAAAAAGACATTGCAGATGAACTAGTCATAATCTTTTTCAAGTTTACGACGTTATCATTTATAAGGCAATGGATCTATTTGAACTTTGCAGATGTTGTATGACGACAGTTATTCTTGATCGTGTTCCGTCATAAAAATCTTCTCGATTTTGATGAACTCGTTCATATCATTTCTCAAGTGTTCTGATAGATGTAGATTGGTTACCGAAAATAAAATACAGTGCCCGTCCTTAATTTCATTTATGTCGATCTTCACCTCTTTGTCTAATGCCAATACAAAAACTATATGGTCTTTATTAGCAAGACTCTGACTCAGCGTTATCATCCTATCACCAAATCTAAAGAAATATCTTCTACTCATCATGATACTCAGCTAAAATTTATTTCATCCACACTCATTCATTATCAAATAATAACTATTTATTTATGTCCGAAAAATAAAGAGTGTCAATACCATGTTGTTCTCGTCAATTAATAATCATTAAATCTTCTCTATCTGAACTAGACATGCTCAAAAGTATTTGTTTAAATGGAAGAATAATCTATCGACAATATACAGTTCTAACTGATCAGCATCTATTAATCGACAACAACGTCGATTTGAAGAATTAGCTTCATATCAATAAAAAATAAAAACTTTTTTTCTCAATTACCAGTTCTTATCATTATCCTCAAAATATTCTCATGCGTGGAATGAAAAACAAAGCAAATATTGATCATTCAATACTGCCTATAGTTATCCAACAATCCATGATATATGTTAATGATAAACCAATGACAAATAGCAAACCATTAGATATCACATCTATACAGATATAAAATTCGATTGTAACTTAGAAATATTAACTTAATCAATTGATTGTTTACTTTTCATTCTTTAGATGGAAGGATTTGTGTAAAAATTTAACTAACTTTGCAAGGCTTAATAAAACAAAATAATTAATAAAGTTTTTTTCAAATTGAACTAGATTTTATTCATATATTTCATCATTCAAAAGGTTATCAGAACTATCAAGAATGATGATTAGTGATGTATTGGTGTGCCATCGTTGTTCTTTAATTAACATAAAAACTATGAACTAATTAAGTTCTAACTTTTGAAAACAATCATTAGGAGTATTTCGAAGTTTATAAAGTTACATAATGGGATGTTGATAAAAGTAATTATAATCGTATAGGAAATGAATCAAGAACAAATAAGATCAAGTCAAGTAAACACGGGCGCACCATGAAAGAAATGAAAGAAAAAAGGAATTCTGTGCGAAATATCGAGATAAATAAGACAAAAGTACTTGTCTAATCATCGATTACTTTTTGAAGGCGATTTTCCAGCTGATGTGTTTTGTATTAATATTTACATTGATTTTAATTTCATTGTTTCCATCTGTTCCAACGCCACCTACGAGTGCTATAAGTACATTTACATATACAACACATGCTGAATTCACTGCAGCTGTGGCACATCATTTTCACTTTTATGCATAGAATTGTGTTGCAATGTTACCACCATTAATAACAATTGATTCGATTATTGCTAGAAGTCCATACACACGTCCAGATATATCAGAAGGATAATCATTATAAACAAAAACTCATAGGCGTGGATGTGGTGAAAAGAGAATAAGTACATAAACATCCACATAGTAATGTTAGAAAATCATATGATCTATCCAATGAAATTAAAAAAATCTTTTTTTCTTATCGTCTCCATATGAAAAGAGCTATAATATCACATTGCTCATGCAAGTAATTCAGGACTAAAAATATTGAATATTGATCTCGCTCGAACTTTTTATTTGTTCGTGAAAGAATAGTTGATGCCATCACGAAAAAGGCTTATCTCAACATGATCTTTCGTTTACTACAAGAAGGCACTAAGAACCCTACTGGAAAACCTGCTACCGGCCGATTTGTGACCTTATGACCTCATCTTCTTTATCAAACGTTGAACAGTGCTACACGCACCTTTTAGTGTGACTAATTTTTTGACAAAAATTTCACGGTACATACCCTCGAAAAACAGTAAGGTATAAGACTTAAAAATCGAAACGGCTGTCAAAATACTGAAAGCCTCATTATCCATAGATCATCTTATTTATAAATCCATAGCACACAGTGAACAAATTTTGTGCAGCTATGCGAGTGCTTGTTATTTGCACACTTCTGCGATAGTGATACCAACAATTCGGACGAACTGCAATAACCTAGTTGTATGATCAGTGACAACACTTCTAAGGTCTATATTCATTCGGACTATATTGTTCCACTTTTCACTAAAAGAAGCATATCATCGTCCAAACAACTACGATTACTAATAACTTTGTTTTGGAATAAAATGAGATACATCATTAGTCACTGTTTCAAGATATTTTGTAACTACTACATCTAGAAGTTATATTCTCCCATTGTAAACTTGTGTCCAACAATGTGGATTTCGATTATCAGTCTAACAATATGAAGTGAGTGTATAAAACAGATCTATAATACTCATGCGTTCACAGCCACATCCTCTTCCACCCAATATTATTTCATCGTAATCTACTTCACAATATTCAAGTCTCATGGTTATTACGATAATGCTACTATCAATGTATAGTGTTGATTTAAATAACTTATGCAAAAAAAAGTAACAAAGTAAGGGAGTATTTCATTATCGATATGGAAAGGTTACATTTATTGGTCTCCTTTCTGTACACAACGACTTGACAAATCAAAAATGAATTAATGCATTACATAATACATATGTCCAAAACATGAAAAAAGAGAGGTATTATGGATGATGTACAAGATGTCATTGTCATGTGTTTTTCAATATCCCTCATTCAGCGATCATTTTTTATCAAGTAATTGCAATGTGTTTTATGTTAAATCAAATTCATTAAATCGCTTTCCAAAAATTATTCACTTTATTTCATGAAAATCAAATGTATTAAAACAATGCCAATTTCATAGTCATCATATCGTTTTTTCCTGTTATTGTGGCATTTCTTAATACTTTTACTACATCAAATCAACTGCATTTTGAATGATTAACCAGCAATACTCCAATTTGGTGATCCAATGATATCAATACCCCATTCTTTAGCAATTTTCATTACAAGATCAAGATCAGGTGGCTTTTGGTTGAGTGCATAACTCACTTGTTGAAAATAATTTTCGATTCCAGCTGGACTGGACCAAAATTGAAGTTGAGCAGGTCGTGCATTTATTCCATTTATATTTCGAAATGTATGAACAACACCACGTGAAGCATATACACAACTACCTTTTGGCGCTAACAATGTTCAATTATTAATAATAAATTGAATTTTACTTTCAAGTACATAAAATACTTCATGTTCGAAAGGATGTATATGCATTGCGGGACCTTTATAACGAATGAAAATATATATATCAATATTAACTTATACTTAATAAATGTAAACCTTCTCCAGACAATACAATGCCTTCCATCATTGTGAATTCACCATCAGTCTGCTTTGAAGAAAGTTTTATATGATAAGAATTGGCAAGAATTTTAGTGACTTCACCTCCATTTGGATCTAAGTAGAGCACCATCTTGCATGTTTATTGCTTTTGAAGTTGGATACAATTGACTTATACGTTATAATGATGTATTTGTAACTGTGTTATCAACATGAGGTCGTCTAGATTTACGAGTAAAAGCAGTCTCTAAAAGAAATATACATATAATTGTACAATATAAACTTTATTTTGCTTTTGGGCGATATAAGAAAATGCTTACGTATGTAAACAGTCACTAATATCAAAGTGCAATATATCCTTAGAAAATACTTAATAGTAGTTGTCATTTGAGATATTTTTAATGATGAAAATACAGAACAGACATCAATTGTATCGCTGAATCTACCATTTGTATTTATATAATATCAATGAGTATTTTGTTCTTTTGGACTAACTCTCTCAGTTCTTATTTCTTCCTTTTTTTGTCGTAAAAAACGGTATAATAGTGGTACACTTATGCACACATACAATAATGAAAAAATTGAAAACAGAGACACATATGTATAACAATATTTATTTTGTTCTTGAATGCATAAGTTTTTAGAATCTATTCATCTTTTATTTTTATTGAATAAAATATTAAAAAATATAGGAAACATATACAAATATCATTGTAAAATAGAAATAATTTGTACTACATTTAGTACACGAATCCGACTGATCTATATAAGGAGGATTATTAAAAAATTTGTTCACAATTTCTGTAACATTTTGTAACATTTCTGGTCCATTACATAATAAACCACGAGTATTACAATTATAACTCAACGCAATAGTTGTATTAATTAGTGTTAGTAAATTATTTTCTGTATACACATGAAGACTAACCAAAGTACCTAACCAACACAAACGTTGTTCAGATATTGATGATGATAAAACATAACCTGTAATGTTGCATGAAGCTGCTGTACCAATATTATCAATAACATATTGTAGATTGGGTGTGAAGAATTGAGTTTCTGTATTAGCATGAGGATCATAAATGATTAGTTTTATACTTTCTTCCAACTCAACATAACGATATCCAAGTAGTTGATTCGCTATTTTTTGTGCAAATATTCTTGAATCATTATCTTTATCAAAACATGCATTATGAATATCGACATTTGTTTCTGATACATTCGCATAGAATGTAACTTGTGTATGATGATAGAAAAATTTGTCAAATAATGAAGGTGTCAAACTTTCATTGATTGCTTGAGCTGATGAATCACCATCAAATGAAACGGTAACAGTACCATTAGCAACAAGTCAAATACTTGCAGAGCATTTAACAAAACTTTCTACATTGGAACAATCTTGTTCTCGACGATACAATGATGCACGATTCAAACTAACTATTGTACATTTTGATGGACATCGACGAGTATTAGTCACATTTGATGAATTAATTAGTACCACTTTAACTGGTAATAATAATAACAATAATGACATAAAACACTTGATCAATTTTTTCATCATTACTTTTTTATCTATAAAACACCAAAAGTGTAAAGGACTAATGTATAAATATTCTCATGTTATCAAGCCAAACGTGATTCATTGCTTTTAATAGTATTCAGTAATCATCTTTAGAGATATATTTATTCTCTCGTTAAACCAAGATAAAGTGCATGAAATGTTGCACTTCGAAAAACAAAGTAAAGAAAAGATAAAGATAAAAACACAAAGGTCCAAGAAAAAAGTAAAATATAAAAGCATTAATTATTCTTCAAGTAAACTTTCTATTATCATTTAATATCCAATATTACATATGACTCGATCAAAACCAAAATTTCTCATAGCCTATTGGGAACATCGTGAGTGATTTTGAAAATTATTCTTGAGTTAGCTTTTCTGAATAGTTTTATCGATTGATGTTATCATTTTAGGAGAACTTATTGAACCATTTCGTTTGTTGTTAAAATATCGAAATGAACCATTTGAAGATGAAGTTTATAAGTAAAGAGATCCACCTGAATGTTCATGTAAAGAATTTGTTCAAGTACGCGATCAATTAGGATTGACTTTTCCTAGTTTTTCATATTTATATGATAATAATAATAATATTAAGATGACACAAAGTAAAGCTATGATTTGTCATCTTGGTTTAATATTTGATATGATGGGATCAAATATAAATAATAAATCACTTGTGTTAATGTTAATTGATCAAGCCAAGGATTTGCGTTCAGAATTCTCACGTGTATGTTATTATCCAGCTCAAGATTATTTCGAATCTGAAAAACAAACATTCATTAATGTCTATCCACCTGGATAATTACGTGAATGGGAACGATTTCTTTCAGAACATTCACATAATAGTGGATGGCTTGTAACTGATAATGAACCAACTGTAGCTGATTTTGTTGCATTTGAATATATTGATCAACGTCTAGTATTAGCTCCTAATGCACTAGACGAGTTTCTTTTATTAACTCGTTACATGCAACAATTTCGACAAATTCCAACATTATCTAAATATTTACAAGATGAACATGATCTACGACCAATCAATGGAAAAATGGCACATTTTGGAAGTCATGTAGTAGATTATCGTTAGGCAACTGACAACTAGAAGAAAAACAAAAAAAAAACATTTTTCTTTTTCTAAAATTTTTTCATTTGCTAAAATATGACCTGTTTTGTATCAAAAATATTGTAATAACAAACTTTGATTTAGGAAAAAAAAACATTATTAAATATCTCTAAAAGAAAACTATGTTTATTTACATAATGTAGTTCATTAAATAAGAAGTAATTTTGAAAAAAAAATCACAATAACATAACTTTTCTACAAAATAACTTTTCATTAAAAAATATCATTTCATGAAGTAAAACAACATATATTAACAAAAAAACATCTTAAATTAAAGATAATTTATGGATTATATGAATAGTTTTAGACTAAATCATTTGCAAAACTTTGTTCGCTTTTGAAGAATTTCAAATAGATATTTAATTTAAAAGTAAAATTTATTTATCAATAGTACAAAAGTATTCTTCTTTTTTAATTTGTGTTCTCATTAGTATTAGTTCATATATGATTCACTCTTAAAATGAAGTAATCTAATAAATTCTGATTCATCATAATTTTAGCGCAATTTTAATCATATAAGTTATCTTTATTGATAATAATTTATTTGAAAAGCAAAAATATTTTCTTCAAATGATAAGTTCATTCAAATAATCTTCATCCTAAACAGATTATTATGCAAACAATCAAATAAATAAAATAATATATATGTATATTAAATATATCGAAAATTATTTTCATTTTTTATGTATTACTTTTATCTTAGCTTTTGTATTGAATATTACAACAACAAAACAATATCACAAAACATGTATTTATTGCTTGCATGCTTTTCTTGTCATTTTTTTTTGTAATATCAGAATATTATTTTTATTCTTTGTCATACAATAATAATACTAACGACAGCAAAAAGCAGAACAAAAACCAAAAATGTACTTTGCTCTATTTGTCTACTATTATCATATAAATCATACTTTTTTTCGGTGAAAAAGTAATATAAGTTATTTCGTCGAATGAGATTATTATCTATTGATAGATCCAGGGTTGTCGATTGTTTTTAGGAGTGCGGGGGGGGGGGGGGATAAAAATTTGGCAGATAGTTAATTTTTTTACAATTTTTAGTTCATCGAGAAATCTTTTAAGAGTAACAAACAAGATCATGTTCGTTAAAAAGCAAAGACACTTCCAAATATATTTAAACTTTCAAAAAATGAAGATATTTTAAGGTGCGAGCAATTCAAACTTCAAGTCATTTTTTTTGCCTTTTTTTACATCATTTGATAGAGTGTGGACCGCTGATCACGAAAAACTTGAAGGACGTCGTTTTTTTCGAAAAAAACCTATTTCAAGATATGCAAACTTTTCTGCTATATTCTTGTTTCCAGCTTCTAAAGATATATTTTTCAGATTCAGCATCAAAAACTGAGTGCAGGCAAGTTATTAGACCGACCCCGATCTCAAAAAAATTTTTGATGATGGCACTTCGAATCGCACCGAGTGCAATACGCATAGGTCGATTTTGTAAGCCTATCTAGATTTTTAAGTAAGAGATGAAGTCAGATATTTTATCTCATTTAACTCATCATACCACCAGTCACAAAAGAACGCATCGCGTTTTTTTTTCTTTTCTTTGTTGAGAAAAACTGTTTTTCTGAATTTTGGGCTAAATAGATGGAATTTGACTCGTATTTCTCCATTTTCTTCATAAAATCTAAGCTTTCATGCAATAATCTTATCATATTCGGAATCAGTACGAAAAACTGAATCGATTGATATATGATTTAACCTTTTCCATTGACTTCAGCTTTTTAGTTTTCGGAGAAGACCTGGCTGAAATTTTCATCAAAAAATTAAAGGTAACGAAATTTTTCGAAACATACATCAATCGATTCAGTTTTTCGCGGTGCTTCCGAATATGATAAGATTATTGCATGAAAGCTTAGTTTTTATGAAGAAAATGGAGAAATACGAGTCAAATTCTATCTATTTAGCCCGAAATTCAGAAAAACAGTTTTTCTCAACAAAGAAAAGAAAACAAAACAAAGACGATGCGTTCTTTTGTGACTGGTCGTATGATGAGTTAAATGAGATAAAATATTTGACTTCATCTCTTACGTAAAAAAACTAGATAGGCTTACAAAATCGGCCTATACGTATTGCACTCGGCGCAATTCGAAGCACCATCATCAAAAAATTCTTTAGATTGGACTCGATCTAACAACTTATCTGTACTCAGTTTTTTATGCTGAATTTGAAAAAAATATCTTTAGAAGCTGGAAAAAAGAAGGAAGCAGAAAAGTTCGCACATTTTGAAAAGGATGTATTTTTCGACCCAGAAGAAGCATTTTCTGGCGCTAAAAAGTAATTTTTCGTGATCAGCAGCTCACAGTCTATCAAATGATGTAAAAGAAAGGTGAAAAAACTTTGCTTGAAATTCGCATTGCCAGCACTTTATATATAACATATTTATTGTTCACTGTGCCGATGACGAATGGGTTCGTTGAAATATAAATTATTTTGAATAAAATAAGTTCAATTCACTTTTACACGTCGTATATTGGACACAGATGGAATCACAACCCGACAATGAGCAGGAAAGCAGACCGAAATTCACCAAAAATTTTAGGCAAAGAGTACATATGAGCTTTCTGCCAAAGAAAAGTACTCTCAAGTTAATTTTCTGCGGGAATTTTGCAGAAAATATATTCTTGATGCTATCTATCTATTTTTGCCAGAAAGAGGGATAATATGACTCAACTGTTCGCATTGCTACCACTAATCAATAAGTATGCATGCATCGCGGAGAGAAAATTTTGAGAAATTCATCTTCTTAAATTTTGTTTATATATAGGTTGTACGAAAGCTAGAAAAAATATTTTTCAGCAGAAAAACGTAGAAATACAGCGGAAAAAAATTGGCAGAAAGGATCCGAATTTAGCGGGGAGAAATCCCCCCCCCCCC